CTGAATATGTTTTTTTAGATCCAGAATATATTTAATTTATATGCGACATTTACTTAGACTAAGTGGATCCGGAGCCATAATTGACGAGTAGGTACTCGAACACGAAGCGGCAACGTCGCGTTCTGTGTGTGACAGAGAACCCAGTAGGCTACTTCGATATAGTAATAAGGTAAGAAAATACGTTATCTGCTGATTTTGTGGATCAAACTTTGGCTGGTTTTATTGTGGAAGGACGTTTGTTCGAGTTTTTGATATCGTGTGAGTGAATTTGTGTTATTTTATTCATTTGTCATAGATCAATTAGAAGATGATGGATAGTACTTTATTACAAATTAATTTGTCACGCGAGTGTGTGTTTGTTTTTGTGTTTGTGTGTGTGTGTGTGTGTGTTTTTATGCGAGTTTGTGTGTGCGCGTGCGTGTTGGTGTATGTGTGTTCATGTGTGTTCGTGTGAATGCATGTGTGTGCGCGTGTGTGAGAGTGTATGTGTGCGTGTGTGCACTGTTGTGTATTTTTAGTACGTGTGTGTGTGTGTTAGTATGTGTGTGCGCGCGCGCGTACGCGCGTGTGTGTGTGTGTGTAGTGTGTGCGTGCGTGTGTTAACTGCTGTTCGTGTGTGTGTGTGTGTGTGTGTGTGTGTGTGCGGTTGTGCGTGTGTTTGCTTTTGTGTGTGTGGGTACGAGTGTGTGCGTGTGTGCGTGCGTCTGTCCACTGTTATTTTGTAATTGTATTTGTGTATGTGCTTGTGCGTGTATATGTGTTCGTTCGTGCGCGCGCGTGTGTGTGAGTGTATGTGCGGGTGTGTGTGTGTGTGTGTGTGTGTGTGTGTATGTGTGTATGTGTGTGTGTGCAAGCGCGCGCGCGTATGTGTATGTGTGCGCGCGCGCGTGTATATATGTGTGCGCGCGCGTGTGTTTGTATGTGTGTGTGTTTGTGTCTGTGTTTGTGTGTGTGTGTGTGTGTGTGTGCGTGTGTGTACGTGTGTGTGTGTGCGTGTGCATGTGTGTACGCATACACACACTCACACACGCATATTGCCGCACACACTGGCACGCACACAAACACAACAGTGCACGCACACATGCACACCCATTCACACACACACACACACACACATACACACACGCACACACACACGCGCACACACACACACATACACACACACGCACACACACACACATACACGCGCGCGCGCGCACACGCACACACACGCACACACACACACGCACACATACACACACGCACACGCGCGCACACACACACACACACAAACGCGCGCGCACGCGCGCACACACAAACACGCACTCAGACGAATACCTTATGTCGCCGTTGCCACCACTTTCGCTACAAGAAGGGGCGTTGTCGAGTAATTCGTTAAAAAAAAGTCGTTTATTTCGACCACAAGGATCACAGATGTTATAATAATACAAATCTTAGAACTAAATTTCGTAAAACTTAAAACTATTTACCTAATTTTAAAACTATATATAAGACAGGTCCGATTAGTCAGCACGTGCACCATATGACAATGGTAGGTACAGGTACTGACCTCAAACCTGTCAGAAAATGCCCTCAGGATACCATTGGAACTGGCCCGCACCCTGCGCACCAGGGATGTGCATCGTTTACGCATGGTGGTGTAGAAACAATCCACACGCGTTTCCGCGAACATACCCGGCGCATTACAATAACGAGGTTGACCAAACAGCACCCTGAATGCATTACATAACACACATTTAATCTGTAGCTTGTACCGCCAAAGATACGAAACGGCAACGTCGCGGCTGTATTCAGCCAATCCGATCGTTTATCTTATCGTTTGCTGTGCTCTGATTGGCTCATTTAAATCAGATCAACATTTTCCGTAACCATCGCAAGGTGGATTTGTATATCGGATCAACTTCGGCCAACGCTAGCAAACAGTCTCGTGAGTGCAGATGTTGATCCGGTCGGAGCCACATTAGTTACCAGAGATGCATATTGGATCAACAAAAGGCGCCGGATCAACATGCGTTTTCGGATCAACAAAGTGCTCGCGTGAAGTCGCGTCTGATCAACATTTACCGTAAAGAGATCTCTCTCTCTCTCTCTCTCTCTATATATATATATATATATATATATATATATATATATATATATATATATGTATATATATATACAAGAATTGCTCGTTTAAAGGTATATGATTTTAAAGAATATGGATGAGCGCCCCACCATACCCCGCATAAAGCTCTTAGAATGTTTATATTTTTTTCGCATTTTTTTTGGGTGATATGAATTGATTTATTGGTGATATGAGACATGCCGGATAATTTATTATCAAGAATTACACCAAGGAATTTAACTTACTGGATATTTACGAGCGGGGAATCAAAAAGGCGAACCTGGATTTCAAACTCTTTTGCGCGAAAAAAATACTGTATTACTTTTATTTGGGGAAAGTTCTAATCCATGATCATCTAACCAAGAGGTCATAGAGAGGAGATTTGTTCTACCGCATTAGCACAGGATTCTATACATTTATCATTAACATAAACTAAGATATCATCAGCGTATTGCAAAATTCTACACTTTGAAACACACGGTCTAAATCTGACGTATAAATATTGTATAATAAAGGACTTAAAACAGAGCCTTGAGGAAGGCCTTTGAAAACCTTTCGAGTATATTTTAGATCATCATCAATTTTAATATGTATATATCGATCTAAAAATAAATTGATAATCAAATTTGTAAGTGTTTGGATATATTAAGCTTAAACCTCTTTTCTCTAAGGATGTTAAGTCTGACATTATCGTAATCAGAAGAAATGTCAAGGAAAGCAGCAGGGACCGATTCACTTCTCGAAAATGCTAGTCTAATATCTGTGGTGAAGATATTATGTAGAAAGTCATGGATTGTTATCAAATATCCATATTGGGTATTTTTAGACGGTTCTTGATCATATGTTCAAAGGCTTTAATTAGAGTTGAGGATATAGCGATCGGTCTGTAGGAAGAGCCGTCGTTAGGATTTATGTCAGGTTTCAAGATAGGAATAATTACTTGAGTCCGCCAAGAGTCTGGAACAAAGCCTATGTCAAACAAAACATTAATGATATTTAAATAGTAGTATAAAATTTGATCATTACATTTGGCAAGTAGTGAATATGGAGTACCGTCTAAACCAGGAGCTGAATCGTGAACGTGAGAAAGGACGAGCTTTAATTCATACAAAGAAAATGGACGTTCAAAAAAAGAATCACATGGAATACTTTGAGGTAGTTCCTCTCTCAAAGGAGCAGAAGAGGGGGCAAGTTTATCTAGAAAAGTGTTTATAGATTGTGAGGGAATGGCACCACTGTAAGAACAAGATGAAAAACAACAGCAAAATTTTCTAATATTACGCCAAACAACTGATGAAGGCATTGAAGAGAAATTGAGGTACAAAAGGCATGCCAACTTGTTTGTTTTTTAGTGCGAAGAGTATTTTAGTCACTTCTTGTTACGTTGTAGGTATGAATAGTTTTCCGAAGTCATGTCTAATTTATATTATTTTTCGGCTTTTTTCCTATTACGAATGGCCTCAGTACATTCAGAATCCCACCATGGAGGGGAGGGCCGACACTTATTATTTAGAGTTTTAACAGAAATTGTTTGATCTGCTGCATTTATAATTGCGTTTGTAAATGCTTCAACAACAGAAGTTATATTATTTTCAGAAACAGGAGCGATTTATAGAATTTCATTGTAAAGAAAAATATTGTACAGGTTCCAATCTGCTCTGTCTAATTTGTATTTAATACATGGTTTTTGTTAATTTACGCGTAGCTTCGACGAATACGAAGATATGATTATGTTAATAAGGAAACTTATAATGCTTTCTACAGAATCAAAATTACCCTGTGAAGTAACTGGTAAAACCCGAAAAGCACAACCATTCTGAGGTTGCGGAATTGAAAAATCTTCAATAATTTTTGATGACTTTTTTTGTCGTATCCTGTTTGTGAATGGTGCCGTAATTGTTTAGTAAAATATAATATTTCTTATAAGAAGTTTTATTAGATGTAGCGGGGTTGGAAGGAAGATTATCCATCGTAGGATTAGTAGAAAGCGAATAATTTTCAGGGATTTTTGAAATCAAAACATCAGCATATGATTTTGAAGAAACTTGAGGATATTTTTGAGATGCTTTTAGGTATGAGATAGAATTTTGTGCCAATTCAATTTTAATATTATTTTGTCTTGTGTGTTCAGGCCATCTAGAATCTGTGGCTTTGTGGTTACCTGAGCAAAATAAACAACGAAAAGATCCATTATCTTTGTCGTAAGAAAAAGAGGAGTGATCACCTCCACATTTTGAGCATCTTGGCTTGGAACGACATAAATCTTTAGTATGTCCAAATCTGCAGCACTGAAAACATTGAATCATTGGAAGCTTATAAATTTCAACAGGCATGGAAGAATAACGTAAATAAACCGTCGAGGGAAGAATTTGACCGTCAAATGTGATTACGACACTTTCAGAGCTTTCATATCTAGGGTTGCCATATGTCCGGTATTTAAGCGTACAGTCCGGTATTTTCGAGGCCTGTCCGGTAAAATATAAATGGTCATACCGGACAGAACAATGTCCGGTATTTTGAGGAAAGTCGGTACTACTGGTCACAAGCGCCTACAAAAATAGGCATATGAAATCCCTAAAACGCAAAACTCGCGCGCGCTCCTCGCTCGCTGTTTGTATCTGCGTCTGCGGGCTCTCACTTCACCACTGTATACCCGTCTCACTCACTCGTACTCGCTGCCTGCGTCCACTCCCCCACCCGCGCGCGTCCGGTGTGTTTTGTTTTGATTTTTCGAGTTTTGTTTACCTAGTCGATAATTAGATTACGCAACGTTCGGGAGTGTTTACGCAGTTGACCTAAGTACCTACTCGTTGAAACAAGCAAAGTTGTTCGTCGTAGTTGAGTGTATGTTTGTGTTTTTGACTGTTTGTTGAGTTTTACACAAAGCTAATGGAAAATGGAGGAAGAAGAAGCTTCCACCAGTTCTGCAACACCGCCAAAGAAAATAAGACGAATGTGCCATTATAATAAAGACTGGGAAAATAAATATTCTTGGATAACTAAAGCCAACGTCGACACTAGAGCTTACTGTAAAATTTGTAGAAATGAATTTGCTGTGGCTGAAGGTTTGAAGGGGGTGAACCAGCATGCCTCTACAGAAAAGCATAAAGAGGCGGAAAGTGCGCAAGCCAAGTCCCAAAGAATGGACTCTTTCTTTACGCCTAAAGGAAGCGCACAGAGTGAAAAAGTAAGCCTTGCCGAGTTAGCAGATATTTTTCACTCTGTAAAACATCACATCTCCTATTTGGCTCAAGATTGTTCATTAAATGTCAGAAAACAAACCATCACAGATTCGGAAATCGTGAAACAAATGACCGGAGGGCGCACCAAATGCACTGCCATTGTGAATCAAGTTCTGTACCCTTATTCAATGGAACTGGTCCAAGAGGATTTGAAAGAAGTCATGCCTTTTTCCGTCGCTACTGATGCGTCGAATAAAGGAAACAAGAAGTTGTTCCCAGTTGCCGTTCAGTATTTTACAGCAAAATCTGGAATGTGCCGAAAAATTTTAGATTTCTACGAAGATCCATTCGAAGACTCGCGATCTATAAAAAATCACCTGTCCAAAGTCTTAACAGAAGCAGATCTTTCTTGCAGCAGAGTAACTGCGTATGGAGCAGATAACGCTTCTGTTAATTATGGAGGGAATAATTCGGTGTACCAGAAACTGAAAGAGGAAGAAAATAGTAACATCATCGCTGCCCATTGCAATGATCATATAATTCATAACTGTGCCAAAAATGCTTTAAAGATGTTGCCAGTTGACGTAGAAAACATCGTTCTGAAAACATTTTCAGAATTTTCCCATGCAGCAAAGAAGAGACAAGACCTGAAAGAGTGCTTTGAATTTTATGAAAGTAAATTCAAAGAGGTCCTTCGCCATGTACCCACTAGGTGGTTAAGCTTGTTCAAAGCCCTGGATAGAGTTTTGTCATCGTGGGGGCCGTTAAAAAAAATACTTTCTCGAACTAGGCGTCAATAATTGTTCACCGGCTGTATGGGCTATTATAAAAGACCAAAAAGATAATCCCACAACAGAAACGAACCCAACTTATACCGAACTCTATCTATACTTCACGCACAACTTCATGGCGTCATTCCAGGAAGTGTTACTATTACTGGAAAATAACGACACATTAGCTTTCAGTCTACACAATATTATGACACAATTCCGGGACACAATAGTGAAAAAAATTTATGATGAACACTTCGGAATGAAAGTGCGTATGGCCATGAACAAAAAGTACCTATCGGATGAAGAAACTCAGGAGTTTAAAAAACACGCCCTGATTGCTTATCAACGAGCTGTTGCTTATTTGGAAAAGTGGTTCCAGTTCGAAAACTCGGTGTTCAGAAGCTTCAGTTGCTTGGACCTTGAACGCGGTCTACCAACTCTGGACCAACTAATTGAATTGTGGACTCTAACGAGAAGCAACGACACTCCACCGGAAGCACTCTACTCAGAGTTGGCTATACTTAGTAGTGTTTACCAGTCCCTGGAGGGAAAGTCAGTGGATATGTGGTGCAGCTTTTTTAGTAAAGAATCAGCGCCAAATCTTCTCAAATTGGTTCAACATGTATGCAGCATTCCTGTATCGAACGCCTTCGTCGAGCGCATTTTCAGTGTGATGGGGAATATATGGACCAATGAACGAAACCGCCGTGGTCTAGAGACTGTGAAAAGTGAACTGTGTGTTTTTTTCAACATAAACTCGAGCTGCACTGATTTTAAAGAACGTGTTGTATCAAATAAAACACTATTGAAAGCGGTTGCGTCAAATGCAAAATATGTTAAAAAGAAGTAAGTAGGTACTACCTAAAAGTAGTACCTAGGTACAGTACAACATACATAAATTAGTTTTAGAAGAATGATTTAACTTTATTATTTGTTCATTGGAAGTTCCTGTTATTTTTGTTAAACATACCTATCTAGTTTTGGTGATTTTATTTTTTTCTGAAGTTCCTACCTTTATTTTGTTAAGTAAGTAGTAGATTATAATATTAATACCATTGTTTAATAAAGACTTTCTCAAAGTAAGCATAGTCTTGGCGACCACAATTTTATGACTGCATTATATTTTGTTACTAATTAAGTTGATTTATGTGATGTAGATTAATAAATAAAAACTATTAGTATAAAAAAACCCGTATTTTGTTCGAACTAGCTTACAACCCCCCCCCCCCGTTTGGGGTTATCCGGTATTTTTTTCGCGACTCACCTGGCAATCCTATTCATATCTGACTTTCTCTTCGTTGCGAACTCGGTAATTTAATCTTCGTACTTTTAATACAGGAATGGTGTTTGGATACGTAGATAATTCAGAAATTATCTCTTCTGGTGTCCAATTTTGGTACTTTTAAACTCCCATACGAGAAACGTGAAAGGATGGAATAAAGGTTTTATATTTATCATTTACGGATGGATTTTCTAAAAATAGATTTGCATAAATAAATTTAGAGAATTCAACCGTTATTCTATTTCTCCCGATGCGTTTTAGGCCTCCATTAGCTATATTTTGTACATTTAATTTTTTCAAAAAGTGAACAAATGAAATAGCATTTAAAGTTCTACCAGAATTAGTAGAATCTTCTTTTACTTGAACATGAACAATAAAAGGACCTGAATCTGTAGAATTATAAGGACGAAGAGATTGAAATCGATATAACTATTGGCAGAATTTAATGTTTGTGATAGAGGAATGCCAGATGATTGTGAAAGAGTGATTTCAGATGATTGTGTACAAGCAATATTGGATGATAAAGACATGGGATATTCATAAGCACGTTGACCTGACATGTTGCCTTTGATAGAGTTAGAGCCTATAATTTTAATTTTAGATAATGAAGTATTACCAGTATCGCAGCCCGATTCTGAGAATGAGGAATTGGTGGAAAAAGCTGAAATTCTTCTATTTATGTCAACCCGATTAACATGCTCTTCTTGCTTCCTTTCTTTCGTTTTATGTTATCTTTTTTTTTTTTTGTTTGAAATAATTTTGAAGTTGTCATCAAAAATTTCTTGCGATAATGGCTGCCATGGTTTTATAAATGAACCTTCTAAACAATTTTGAATTTCAACATAAGCAGCTGGTGAGGAAATAATGTTAGTGTCAGAATAATTCGGATCCGGTGGCTTAGGCGGAATTGGATTAGACATGGCGACCGAGAGACTAAGCCTACGTTAAACTGTTTTGTGATAGTATGAAATTGTCGCTAAATGAAATACAATATGAAAATGCAGATAAATATTATTAATATATACTAAAATATATTTTTTATTTTTATTTTTTTTTATTTAAAAGGTACACCAACAGTACATGTATACATATTATAAGTTACAGTTTTATAGTATAATGTCTTATACATATACCTATTATAGGTGTACACAACATTGACAGATAATTACAAATATATAAGGAATGTAATCAGAATATTACAAGAAAACTTAAAATAATTAAAATGACACCAAAAACGCGTAAAACCGTTATTGACGTTCAGTTGACCTCAAGCATAGATTACTGTATTTATACTAGAGAACCTCAAGATAGCTTCAACCTCCGCGTTCTCTTTGCGCACAAGATAACTCTGCGCGCCACTGATGGCGTACTTAATGTTGCCATCTTAACTAATATTATTTCCTTCATTTAATCTTATTACTCGAACTATATCAAATTATACATACATAACCGAATTGATTACCAGCGCTCAGTTAAAAAACTGTAATGTTAAGCTTAATACACGCTTTACTTTATTTTCTGTATTTTTCTCAGCAAACCCTTTTTTTATAGAAGAGGGGGCAAACGAGAATGTGGCTCAACTGATGTTAAGTGACTACCGCCGCCCATGATCAACCGCAACACCAGGGAAATTGTAGAATTGCAGCAGAAACGTACAGTGATGGACTGCCAAGCATCCAGATGGTGTGGATGGTATGGAGACGTTTGCCGCGTAGTGCGTTCACGAAATTTAGTGGCTAGAATTAATCCGAACAATTCTTCAGAGCAATCCCCACGGTATATGCGAAAGAAAATGCAAAGAGATTCAACATCTCTTCGCAGTGCCAGTGAATCGAGAAAGCACTCGGTCGTCGACGATTCGAGCCGCTCTGCGCTGGATGTGGTCAAGTGGAAGGAGCTGGTACTGGGGAGCCTCAGCCCAGAGATGGGAACAGTATTCCATGTGCGGCCGAATCTGCACCTTGTAAAGTTGCAGGCGGTGTGCCGGCATGAAATACTGTCCCGCTATGCTGAGCACGCCAAGCTTTTTAGATGTCAATTTGGCCTTCTCTTTCAAGTGACCACGAAACTGCATGTCACTCGATATGTTGACGCCGAGGATACCGATACTGGCTGAGGCAACCAGGAGGAAGTGCCTTGAAACTGGGGAGATTCGACAAAGGGGTTCTTTTTAGCGGTTAACGCGTAAACTTGTGTCTTCTGGGGGTTAAACTGGACTAGATTTAGTCGCCCCCAATCCGAGACTCTGTTCAGCAAAGACTCGACTTCAGACACAAGTTTGTCCCGGTACTCGGAGACGTTTTACCGAGAAATATTGGCACGGCCGGTTACAGAGCATCGCCAGTGCTGTCATCTGCATAGCAATGAATGTTACGGGTTTGCAACATATCATTGATTTGCAGAAGAAACAGCGTTGGCGATAGCACGCAGTCTTGTGGAACACCAGCATTAACAGGCTTGTAATCGGAGCTTGCACCGTCTACAACGACCTTGATGCTCCGATCTGCAAGAAAGCTGGTTTGTGGTGTGGCCCTTTGATACACGTTTCATTAGAATGTATAAAAAATAACTACTCCTCCATCTTTAGGTGTCCATCATATTGGATTTAAAATGACGTCATGTATCTAACTATGCATTGTCATCCAAACTAAGCGTGTATGCAAAATTTCAGCTCAATCGAAAATCGAGAAATAGGTCAAATTTAAGGTCTTTTTTAGGGTTCCGTAGTCAACTAGGAACCCTTATAGTTTCGCCATGTCTGTCTGTCCGTCTGTCCGTCCTCGCTTAATCTCTGTGACCGTTAGCACTACAAATATGAAATGTGTATCAATCACGTCGACAAAGTGGTAAAATAAAAATTGGAAAAAAATGTTTTATTAGGGTAGCCCCCCTATATGTAAAGTGGAGAGTGATTTTTTTTTTAATTTCAACCCTAACGTGTGATATATTGTTGGAAAGGTATTTAAAAATGAATAGGGGTTTACTAAGATCATTTTTTGATAATGCCAATAATTTCGGAAATAATCGCTCCAAAATTAAAAAACAATGTGTCCCCCCCCTCTAACTTTTGAACCATAGGTTTAGAAAATATGAAAAAAATCTGAAAAGTAGAACTTTATAAGAACTTTCTAGGAAAATCATTTTGAACTTGGATGGAAAGTCGGAGCGCCTGCCGCGGAGCGTGCAATGTTGCACGCTCCATGTTCGCGCACATACCCACTACCAGGAGCAGTTGCAGGAGCTCGGAGCGCTGCTGGAGCGCGAACATAATGGATACCCACCTTTAAACTCATAAGTAGGAACATTTATTGTGACGGACGGGAAACTACGGAACCCTACACTGAGCGTGGCCCGACACGCTCTTGGCCAGTTTTTTTTTAATAATAATTACAGGTTATGAACACTGATATTCTGTATATAATTAATTTTCAAAAGGGTATTTTGAAACAGAGATGGTATAGCATTATAAAATTTATTATAAAGAACGAAATTAAAAGTCCATGCAATCTTTGTAAGTCTTTTATTAGCCTAGCACAGTCTCGGAATATTTTTTGCTGTCAAATATCACTGCCTTCTATCAATACTTTTCATTTAGAATGCACTTTTTGTAATTGTAGCCGTATTTAAAATCAATATCAGCTTTTATTTCCAACCAAAGTCTATTTATGGTAGTAATCTCTTTCTTCACGGCGTAAAACATACGAAGAGCCCATATCAAAATTGTCAAAATCATTTTTTTCCTCCAGTTCCTAGTTTTCCATATGTCACAATTTCAGAAGACGAAGCTGCTGCTACATTGCCCTTTTGAGTTATTTGGGTGACGGTGTGTTCAGAAACACCTAAAACAAAATAAAAACAATGCTTTATATGCATTATAACTACATTATATCAATGATATGAGGTAAACTAAAAACGAATCACGAACTGAAAAAATTTGGAAGTTTTATTGTTACGGCATACCCAAAAATTACCTGTCAAATATGCAACGTGGAATCTAACTTTAGAAAACGGTTCCGTACGATCACTTCTTCTTTATGATTACGTTTGACCTTCATTATAATATCCCTGCCAGCAAGATCTCGTACAAAAATTGAACGAGACTCAGTCTCGCAAAATATAGATGAGATCTCGCGAGATCCCGATCTATATTTTTTTTTTTGAGATTGCATTCCCCAATTCCGGATATTGATTAAAAAATAATAGGTAAGTTTTATTTTAAGGTAAAAATCTCTATTAAATGTTACCGAGCACAAACTAATAAGAGTACTAACGGTTACCGAGAAACTTATTTCTGAATGTATTATTCACCTCTATTTAACATACAATAATGTAACATACATCGAAAATTTAATTAATCGAAAATTTCATTTTTTAAGTATAATAAGAGTTGTATTTCATTTAATTATAGTTCTAGCTATTTAGTATCAATTAAGAATCAATAGATAATAAGTTCAATTATGTTTAAGAAGGTCCTTATAAAGTATAGAAGACTTGTCGCCAAAACTTAAAATTATGAAAAATAATAAAAAGATAATTCCATTGTAAATTAAATAATATAACTTTACATTAAACATCATGTAGTAAATAAAAGAAAAATACGTACGTTACTTTGAAATTTTAAATTGTTTTACTTTAAATGTAAATGTAAAATTGTTTGTAATATTGGACAAAAAGGTTTTGTAAATTTTAATGTTTGTAATGTTAGTATAAGAAATAGCACAGGGGGAATAAGAAATAACACATCCCTAAACTTTTCGGGGGAGCTGTAACGTGATAAAAATAATGTAAGCAAGAAAATAGCCCCACGGGTGTGTATACGTGGACTCGCTCCCACGGATGTGTAGAATTCGGCAATCACCTCTCCGCATGTGAACTGTATGTTAGAACATTAAATTAAACCTGTTTTCTTACAATATACTTTGGGCCGTCTTACAAGTAACATGTCTTTCATTTAAACACCCAAGAGCGCACAATATTACAATAATTTTACAACCCCAATATAGAATAGAATCACACTAATGTTACTTTAATTAATTACGCGTATAACTGAAACATTTAGTATTGAACACTGCAAAATGTATTTTGCAATGTATAATCAGATTGATCTTTTTTTCCTTCCCTATTTTTACCAACCTATTGTACGATCTGTAATATTTAACTATATTAAATGAACTAAATGAAGATTAAACATCGTGTGAACTACCAAGTCTACATTATTTCTACTCCTTTTGTTCAATCACGAACAACAAGTCTCAATTAAAAATTCTATGTTTATTTTTGTATTAAATAAAGAGTTTTGAGTCGATAGTATTAAGTACTATTATTTTCCCCATAAACACGAAGTCAAAATTATTTTACGGCACGTCTATTATCTAATTAGCATTTCTTTAGAAAAATGGCATGTTGGTACATTATTGTTCACCACCCCTGCTCTATGCTATATTCTTACTTATAAATGAATATTGGCAAATTAAATTCCAAATAACTTTTTATTATCTAAACTTACCTAATTACAAAATGTTTTATTTCAGTATAAAATAAGTTGGCTTTACTGGCAACCATAATGATGTTGGTCTTTTTGACATTACGAGATTTAAGGACACGAGAACGTAGGCAAAGTTTAGCCTTCGTTCTCATCTTTATTAGGTATTAAATTCAATTTTTTCATATCATATACTAAATTACATTAAGTTTAAATTGACCTGTATAACTTATTTATATAATATCGCTCGTATACACTAAAATAATTAGTGCCATAAGATTATTATTGAGGTTATACGAGATTTTAGTGCCACATATTGAAAGTTTATTAACTAATTTTTTATGTTATTTATTAAATAGAATTCCTGTTTAATTTTTTCTCTTTAACTTCAACAGTTATGTCTCGTAATAAACAACATGAGGAGACTGATAAACTTACACGAATTGCGATCGTCAATGCCGATCGATGTAAGCCAAAACGATGCAGACAAGAATGCAAAAAAAGCTGCCCAGTAGTTCGTATGGGTAAGCTGTGTATTGAAGTAACGCCCAACGATAAGATAGCTACTATATCTGAAGAACTTTGTATTGGATGTGGTATCTGTGTAAAGGTATGCTCATAAACATTCATTTATATTTAGAAACTAAACTTTTATCTTAATTAGAGGCCTGTGTCTGTCGATTTTAAATAAACTAACTTCTAACTTAACATTTCATTTATCCACAGAAATGTCCTTTCGATGCTATTACAATTATTAATGTACCATCAAATCTGGAGAAACACACTACGCATCGTTATTCCAAGAACTCGTTCAAGCTTCATCGTCTCCCAATTCCCCGGCCAGGAGAAGTGTTAGGGTTAGTAGGTCAAAATGGAATTGGAAAATCTACTGCTCTAAAAATTCTTGCTGGCAAGCAGAAACCCAACTTGGGTAGATATTCTGTAAGTTTACTATTCTACTGCACATAATACATTATTTAAATTATGCATTTATAATAAATTTAATGGCCTTATTAAGCCACATAAAATAATTGAAAGACATCATTGACTTTCTTTGTAGTGAAGTACTTCAAATTTTATACATTTCTTTCTTTATGCCTAATTATGCTTCTTAGTGTATGGTAAAGAAATATTAAATATAAAAAAACATGTAGGTTTAAAGTTAAGTAGTATCTTGTAACTTACTTTTTTAGGATCCTCCAGATTGGCAAGAAATTTTGTCCCATTTTCGAGGTTCAGAGTTGCAGAATTATTTTACTAAGATTCTTGAAGATGATTTGAAGGCCCTCATCAAGCCTCAATATGTAGATCAAATCCCTAAGGCTGTTAAAGGAACAGTAGGACAATTGCTTGACAAAAAAGATGACAGAAACAACCAATCTGAAATATGTGAAATGCTTGGTAAGACTAATAAAAATCTAACTATTATTTAAACAAATAAAAGAATGCTACATTCTAATAAACAACTCTATAAAATAATTAACATTAAAAAAATAACAGTATTCAATCTAATAACTTTATTTGCCTTATTACAAAATTAACTCTTAAGAGTCTTCTTCACGACATAGGTCCCAGATTCAAGCTTAGCCACGGTACCTAATTCTTGGAGATTTTTATTACATTTTCTCGAAAATTTCATATTTTACTTATTTTCTACAGTACTTAATATTTGAAATAGATCCTTGTTTAAACCTGAAACTAATTATAAACTACTTTAGTAATAAGAAAGCATCTCTTTTAATACTGCAGATTGAAATTAAAAAATAGTGTAATTTTAAGTATTACTTTTTGTACAACTTTATTCTCAATCCTATATAACTACAGATTCTTATAGAATAGACACACATAAGACTTACCACTATATTTTTTGTATGGAATGTACTAGCTACTATAAAATAATTTATAATGGTTCTCATACTTAACATTCCGGATAGGGGGCTTGGTGAGCTCAGATCTGATATTTTACACCAGTGCTGCCGCTCACCATTTCTAGTCTGTGGAATTTGGGTTCAGCATTTTAGAATTTTGGCCAAGTTGATCACTTCTGTTAGGTGAGGCTGAAATTTTGTGGGAAAGTTGAGATTTTTTTTTCTTGACAATATATTTTTTATAATCTGCAAGAACTTTACATCTCTTTTAACTTTACCATGAAAATTTTGTGGGTGGTTTTACCTATTTGATAATTTACTTTCAGATTTATCTCACATTCGTGATCGTGAAATTGCTGCATTGTCTGGTGGGGAGCTTCAACGTTTTGCTTGTGCTATGGTTTGCATCCAAAATGGAGACATCTTTATGTTTGATGAGCCCTCTTCATATTTAGATGTTAAGCAACGTCTTAATGCTGCTCGCACTATACGTTCCCTGATACATCCTGATAAGTATGTTTTTTTATACAAATTAACAATAACTTTCATCATCTTAACCTACTCCATTAGCTGTGATTGCTGCCTTACTTTAGTTAAATTTATATTTATATTTAATATATAATTTACAAAAAAACATTTAATGATTTCATATTTGTTACAGGTTCATAATAGTGGTTGAACATGACTTGTCTGTGCTAGATTATTTATCAGATTTTATATGCTGTTTGTACGGTGTGCCTGGTGCTTATGGTGTTGTGACTATGCCTTTCTCTGTTAGAGAAGGTATGTATATTGGTTTATTAAACTTAAAATTGTTTATGTAAGTAAGATCCAGATTAACACAGCATTGTGAAATGCGATACACACCTTTTTTGACACATTCAGTCTTCTCACAGTGGAATATAGAACTCCATTTATTCTTGGTCATAGGACCAATGTGAACATAGGTTCACTCTTTGTTCTATGTCCTTTCATTTCTACCATCCAATGTTCATTAGTGTACTGGTCATCAGCCAACTATGCAAATGTGACTTAATTTTCTCATAAACAGAATATTGGTTCATAAACAGATTGCTACTTAGGTGAAAAAAAAATGTGACAAAATGCTTACATTCCTAAGCCACCTATATGCTTAGACTCTGCATGTCTCATCTTATAGACAATGCATATCTGTACTATTACCTAGTCTGTACAGTATATTATCGGGAGCACTTAAATATGTGTGAGTCTGTAACTCAGTTTATTTGAAAATGAAGACAGTAGACCCATTAGTGATCTCTTAACTAATCCTGTAGGCTACATGTTCCTCTATTTCTACAATGAATATTCTATTCAGTAGCAATATGGTGTTCTTTTATAAATAAATGAGGATTGGAGGAAAAAGTTAATTAAATATTTTATTTTAATAATTTATTGTATGTACTGAATGCATAAAATATTTTATATTAATTGCAGGTATAAATATTTTCCTTGATGGATTTGTACCCACTGAGAACATGAGATTTAGAACTGAATCATTGGTTTTTAAGGTTGCAGAATCTGCTACAGAAGAAGAGGTAAGGCTTATTTTACAAAGCAAAACAAAAAAGAGTTTTATTACACATATATATTTCAAAATTTCTCATCTTAATATAAATAAAATCATGAGAAACTGACTTGTTTATCTACTGACTTTAAGTTTGGAGTGTATAGGTAAGCAGGGCTATCTCAGTGTAATTAAATATTAGCCAAATAGCTGTAAATTTCGAGAATGCCAAAAGTTTAAGAGGTGCTATAGAGAATAGTAATCAAAATTATGGGGTATTCGAAAAAAAATTGTAAATATGCTTGAACTAATCTATACATAAAAATCAATTACTGTCTGATAGTCTCGCTAAAACTCAAAAACGGCTGAACCAATTTTGATGTAATTTTTTTGTGTGTGTTTGAGTGCATCTCTAGATGATCTGAACAATTCATTATTGGACCCGGTAGGAGTTGCTGTTGTCGAGATCCAGAAATACCAGGGGCGGATCGCTAGTATTAGATTGTTTCAAATATCCTTTGAAAAAATGATTCCAAAAAATTCAGCTGAAGACGTTATGATAGCTATGATAAATTTTCGCAGCTTGTGGTTTGCAGGATTTGTTAGTTACCACACATTTTTTCAAATTGGGGTATCCTGCTATAACCATTCATTTTTAACTATATTCTGTTTCTATGCTGTTGTTTACAAGGAGATGGGCAGCAGAGTTTTCTTGGCACATAATAAAAAAACTTGTTGCCAAACCATTTATCATGTAATCCAGCTGAGACTACAAAGAAATCACTTCCAGTCTTTATCCTTGACTCCTTAAACAGGGAGAGGATACCCACTCTGGGTGGACAACTATTTTATCATCATCCACAGTGAGGAGGAGGAAAAGGGCAATGGAAATTAAGAGGGCAAAAGCTAGGTTGTTTTACTAAGAAATTGTAAATTATGCTGAATTTCTTCCAGACTCCCCAGGCCTCACAAATTTGTTTGACAGAAATGAGAATGACTTCATTACAACGACGAAGCAACCACTGTTCAATGATTTCAACGTAGAATATACAAATTGTCATACAACACGCAACTTAATGTTTTGTTAGCCTTTACCAACGATTTTAGCTAGAATTACAAAATCGCCTTCAGTGTTTATAAAAATACAACAAAACTGCTTGAGACCCAAATCTGTAATCACAATAATCTCATAGATGCTAATGAATTTTTGCTAGGAAATTAATTTGCAGTTTTTAAGTAACAATAGGGGCATGCAGCTAAAAAGGCAAATCGCTAATCAAAAAGACCGAGTAGAACCAAGTCTATGAAGTCACTCCTACTAATTTAACACAAAGATACCCGGGATTCGAATCCAGGACCTCATTATCAGCAGTCACACTATTACAACCACTAGACCAATGAGGCATCATGTATCACATACATGACACAATAATGATGATGATGATTTGAATGTATATATGTGTGTATGCATTTATTAAATTTTCTTTAAAGCTTACTGTTGAGTTCCCTTAAATTCAGACCCTAAATGTTTTAGTTCTCCTTTCCTCTCTGCACTCTCAATTTGTAGAAATACTACTATTAAACATTTTTACCATAAAAATTTTCATACAGATCAAAAGAATGAATCATTATGAATATCCAGAGATGTCTAAAAAAATGGGCGACTTTAGTCTTAAAGTAATGCCGGGTGAATTTTCCGACTCTGAGATTTTAGTTTTACTTGGTGAAAATGGAACTGGAAAGACTACATTCATCAGAATGTTAGCAGGCAATTTAGAACCCGATGAAGGTAAGTTTTAACCACATATACATATAACCACAGAATAACTTAAGTACCGCGATTTATATGAAAACAAGTGTTTCACACTATTTTCTACCGCTATTTAGTAGTGAAGAGAAAGCTTTTCCGCGATAATTAAGTTCAAAGACGCCGTGCTCCACTCGCGCAACGATTCAAAGGTGCCGCTTGCGTCATCCACTCCCCTCAACCAGTACGCTGACAGACTTTGTATCTAGTGATAAAATTAACTCTTATAACCTTTATAATTTTTGTCCACTATTGCTAAGTAATTTGCACCTTTTGAATATAATAGAAGATATGTACCATTAAATTAAATAGATTTTACTAACTAAATTTTTAATATAATTACAACCCAGAATGCAGATAGCATTCTGGGTTGTAATGTGTAGCTTTAATACTATTACTATTTAATATATTACTATATACTATTTAATATATTAATTTACACATTGATTAATTTTCACATTAATTAATTTTCACATTAATTATTTTGATTTAAATTCTAATTACAAAGTAATATACTGGTGTATAGTATAAATGTCTCAATTTATGCGGCTATTCCCAGCTGCAATGTTTTTGCAATTACTAATGGAACGAGGCAGGTGCGTTTGAAATTGCAACTAATTAGTGTTTAGATAAAGTGTTCATACCCGTGAAATAGGTACACTTATGTTATCTATTTGACACTATTAATAATATTATAATAATACTCTATTAATATAAGTTTTAACAATGGATTAGTTGAAACTGTTTTTTTTTTTTCAAAATTTATTAATTTAAAAACATAAAAAGGTACTTTATGAATAAATTTATATCAAATAAATAAGGAAAGTCATTAAATATGATAGTAAATTATACATTATATAGAGAAAACTAAAATTACGAGTTCTTCCTCCTAGACTCAAAATAATGGATTCTGTTTATAAAGAAAAAAAATCAAAGTGCTACCTGTACACAACGACTTCATTATATTGTTACTTCATCTGATATACCCACAGAGCAACACGGGCCACCAGCGGACCAGAGGGGAATACCATACGCAGATGTTCCCCTCTGTGAAATTATAAGTCCACGCGGTCCTATGAGTACAATAAAACTAGTTGCAGCCGCACTACGCACTAGACTAAATATAGTTGCGCGACTGAATCAACATTCTACAAAAATCTATGTCATGTTAACATTGCAAATCACTTTATTGCTATTTACTTGTTTTTAAACTTATAAATCGCAATAATAAGTCTCTGATTTGTTTACCGACACAGGCCGCTCCCCTGCATACAAATATGCAGATTGGTGGAGCAAAACAAAAATCAGAGTGTGTATCCTAGTTGTCGCTATCAGCAAGCAATATTGTTATAATGTATGAATGTTTGTGTGTGAAATTGTTAGTTTATTGTGCTTATTGATTTAATTATTATGTGGGAGTTTCGTATATACAACATGTAACCAAAACCCTGTGGTTTCCGTTAAATACCTTATCAGAATCAGTATCCAAACATATAGAAATAATTTTTTTTCTTCAGAAAACTTGACCATTAAAAGAAGTTATTTAATAAATTTTTTTTTTTTTTTTTTGCAAATTGTATGTGGTTTTATTACCTCTAACTGACGAGCATCGATAAAGCTTGGTCTTTGACAATCCTCTTACTCCCCCAGACAATGCAGAGGTAATAAAAACACATTATCATCATTCCTTGACAAGTCCGCTGCTGACATAGGCCTCCCCCAAGGAATGCCACAAAGCATTGTACTGAGAGCCACCTGCATACAATGAATGCACATACAATTTGCAAATTATTTTTTTATTAAAATTATTTTTTTAATGGTAAAGTTCTGAAAAATTATTTCTATACGTTTGAAAACTAATTCCGATAACGCACTTAACGGGACCCACAGGGTTTTTGTTACATGTTGTATAACAGAGTTCTGTATCGAGAAAACCGCTATGGCTACTCCCCTGCGGTCCGCCGGCAGCTCGTGTTGCTCTATGAAATATACTTTAATATTAACAGCCAGTGGTTTTCAATAATGATCTGAAGTAGATTTTAAATAGTAAACGTGAGACGTGACGCAATTTGGTGTATTGAATGTGTACTCATGTGAATTATTGGTGGAAACAAACAAGTGCTCGGACGAATATATAAACATCAACTTATTGCATCGTTGGGCACTGTGATTAATATAAATTATCAACAAATATCTGCTAAGTAAAGCTGTTGTCAAAATCTGTCAAAACCTTAAACATGTAAATATAATATATGATGTATGCAATGATTTCAAAAGGGATAGGCCCTTCTAAATATTTTACTCGTAACTTTTTCATACAAGAAAAAGTAGCGCATCTGTCATAATACAAACATCATATAAAAACACGACGTAACCAGGGTCGGATTTCGTTGTATAATCATACTAACTTTATCATTATTACATACTTTGCAGCTTATAGTACCGTAATAATACAAAGCGAAAATACCATAATTTTACCTAAAGGTCTACTTGTATTATTATTGGGTCCTTTTAAATTTTAATATTAACCCTACGATGTCGAGAATTTTTGTATTGTACATGAGTACCGCCTTTTTTTTAATAAAATTAGAATTAGCTCCCTTTCTGGTCAATGCATTTATGTTGCATCATTGATACAACTTTAAATGAGGGCTACCAAGATAAAAACTCTATGCTCCAGAAGCAATCGGTTTGAAAATTCAATTAAGCAGATATGGTTTATTTTATACTCTTTTCGTTTTACACTAAGTTTTTCAGACAAAAATTCAACAGAAATAAAAATAACTCCCTCAAAAAAAGAAACATATAGATAAACTAGAATCGTGACGCAAAAAACCCGGCACATGGGAAAAAGAAACATTAAACGTCAAACGTGATATAATTTTTTTAATATAGTATAATTTTAATTTCCATGCACAATATTTTTGAGGGTCTGAATCCAGCCCTGGCCTAATGTTGGTAACGTAACTAAACTAACTGTAAAATAAAACTTTAAAAATGTGTTTATATAATAATTTAATTGTAACAAAATTAATGTACGGTTATTTACCGATGATACGATATCCCATGTTTTTTTTTTAAATGTACCTGTGAATGTCATACTTTATGGGCATGCCGACATAATTAGTGCATGCCCATAAAGTAGGACATTGACAGGTGGTACTGTCTGTACAGACCGATTTACACTTCGACAAGTACAGTAGCGAGTTTTAGTTATAAGGCAGTTGACAGTGAACGGTTAAGTGGGCAGTAGCGTTCAAACAATGTCTTCGTGGCGAATTTAGTTAAGGACATTAGTTCATAGAGTTTGTTAGAGTATGACGTTTCAAGACTACAGAATTTTTATGATTTTCGTTTAAGATGGTTCTAGGATTACGTCAAGACTTAAATGATCTAGTCAGAGAAGTATTAATGGTTGTTGTTAAAGAAGTTTCTAATAATTTTCATGAGTGCGCAGCATCTCGAGCAGGTTTAATTTTACAATTTGAACTTCTACTATTATATAAACATTCGTATTCTAGATACTCCTGTACAAATATATACGTGATATCTTCCGTCCATTTTAATTAAAACTCAATATAAAACGTATAAATGTTCAATAATCAGTATCGTACAAACTTTGTGGCGAGTTTATTTATAAAAGTATAATTGTACGTTTTGGCGCGCAAACGTTGCGTCCTGTCAACTTATGCACTGAACTAAACTCGCTCGTTTACACGAACGGCGAGTTTAATTGCGGGTGGCGGGAGACGCGCGGGAGGATAGCACTTCGCACTTAACTCGCCGAAAAATGGCTCGGCCGGCTATCCCGTTCAACTTAATCGTTAGCTTGCTACATAACTCGCTTATTGTCGTTCAAACTAGGTTCAAACTTAACTCGCCAGGTTCGCAAGTTAACTCGCTACTGTACTTGTCGAAGTGTAAATCGGTCTTACTACTAAAGAAATTCAGGACTTCATAGGCGTGATTTTTACTGACAGCTGTCGCAGAGATCAAGCTATCTCTTATGAACTATAGACATATTTATGACAGGCAAATCTGTCCTGCGCGCGCACTACTGTCGATCCAGCGCACTGGTCCGTTTTAGTTGTTCGGACGGCCCGGTCCTTACGCTAGTAATATTTAAGTCAATGGATGTATGTACTAATATGTATATCAGTTTAGGCTGTATGGGCATAGATTCCTTTGCCTTTGAATAATTAAAACAACTAGTTGTCATGTTTTGACTTTTGACGTTTATATATCTAAATAACTTGTTAGAAAAGCCTTTCGACGCTTTTTATTATATTTACAAATTGTGTGCGTTTATTTTAGTTATAATATCTAATTTGTTCTGGAATTTGTAATTAGTTCTAATAAATGTAAATGACGTTTCGATATTTAGGTTATAACTTCATTGCAAATTTAAGTATAACTTAATGGACCTAAGGCCTTGTACAAGACTTAAACATGGCTAGAACAGAGCTATTCGATTTGTTTTTTCATCCTGTTTTTCAAAAATGCTTAAAACATGCCGAATCTTCTATATCTCATGAAGGTATTGTTTATGTACCTATAATAATGTACGTGATAAGCGACCTAATTCAAGAGTAACGAAGGATTTGTATTTAAAATCTGTCTAGTGGTGACATAAGAGAATCCATCAGTCATCCAAAGAAACTGAAACAAGCGATGATTAGCAGCATTTTCCTAACAACTTTACAGCCTATCAGAAGTCCACTGCTGAACATGGGCTCCTACATAGATTGTCCCATAGGAAGAATATTTGCTTTAGTTGGCAAATACAGTTTTAAATTTTATTAGGGATGTGCTGCTGCTTGTCTCTGGTTTATTTGGAAACTGGCAATTCCATAGTGACCACACTTTGCAATTAATCGACACACACACACACACATGTATATAGTGTTAACTGTGTATTAAATATATATCAACATTTCTCTAATGTATTTTGACACAAAGAGTTACTGAATGGGAAGGAACTGACTCCTGAAATACAGGGTATCCTAGTTTGGGAGTCAGGGCTCAATGATGTTGTATGAAATTATAAGTGTCAAATAAAGAAATTGTTATTATTAATCATACAAAAATGCAGTCTTTGAGGAAGCCTATGTTGAGCAATGGACTTTTATTAGGCAATAATGAATGGATGAATTAATTAATATAATAAACTCTGTTATATAACTGTTGTTCCTGTATCAGTTTTTATATTAAGTCAAATACATCTTCTGCTTGTTTTTCTACCTTTCTGTTGCTATATTTCAAAATAGCAATTTAAATTAGTGACCAACTTTGTATTTTAAATTTTTATAATACTATGTTTCTAACATTTTACTCTAGGTTCTGGCCAATTGCCACAGCTGCACATTAGTTATAAACCACAAAAAATATCCCCTAAATCCCAGGGCATGGTGAGAAATTTGCTGCATGACAAAATAAGAGATGCGTATGTACATCCACAGGTAACATTTTTCAGTTTTTTATTATTTATTTTGTCTCAGAGTTTGGATTTTATGAAGTATTTTGTAATTTAATATTGTTAGTTTTAATATAACTAATTACAAGTGTAATTTAAAGGAATGTCTCTGCATACATTTTTGAAACTATAATATCTTTAAAAATGTGGTTGCTAACCCGCCAGCTAAATGTGGCAACTATAGCAAATATCCCTGCTATGAGGCAATCTGTGGGGGGGGGGGGCCTACATTCGGCAGTGTTATTTTGGCAGGCTGTAATAAATTAAATAAATATCTTTTCCACAGTTGATTTCTTTTTAGAAAGATAGAAAATTCTTTATTGAACTCAAAATAATTTAGTACAAAGGTAAACTTAATGCTGAAAAGACATTCTCTGCTACCTAGCCTTTGGTGTCATTCAAGAAAAAACATATGGTTAAGTTCATTGCCCATCCTTAAAATATGCTAACTATATTTGTACATCTTTGTTAATTCATAACATTATTATTACAGTTTATAACAGATGTCATGAAGCCAATGAAAATTGAGGAAATTATGGATCAAGAAGTGCAAAACTTGTCTGGTGGTGAATTGCAACGAGTTGCCTTAGTGCTTTGCTTGGGAAAGCCTGCTGATGTGTATCTGATTGATGAACCCTCTGCTTACCTTGATTCTGAGCAGCGTTTAGTTGCTGCTAAAGTTATTAAGCGGTCAGTATTTGTTTTTAGCTCTGTTTGTAAATTGTTAATAATGAAATTTCATTCATCATTACAACTCTTTACAAATCCACTGCTGAACATAGGCCTCCCCCAAGGAAGTTTATCACACAGAGAAACCCCGAGCATAGCCCTCTACAGCTCACTGAGCGATCTTGAGCATCCTCATATGACCAGCAGTGAAAGACCATGTCTCAGATCTATAGATCATCACTGGCAACACACTGGTTGTACAACCATGTTTTGAAGTTTTGAGGTATGTCTGACGAGAAGATGTGTCGTAATTTTCCGAACGCTGGCCAGCTGAGATGAATCCATTTGATTGACCTCTCGGTTGAAGTTGAACTTATCTCGTCAGACAATGTCACAGGTAAACATACTCATCAACAACTTCGAGCTTAGTGCTCCCAATAACTACTGGCATAGGTGTGACATGGATGTTACACATGACTTTCGTTTCGTCTATGTTCTTAAGATCTATCTGTTGTTGGACACTATTGAGGTCATCGAGCATAGTGCTCTGGCCCTTCAGTGATTCTGTTATAGGGACTATACAATCGGCAAATTGAAGGTGAGTAATGTACTCGCCAGTCCAGTAGCTTGAAAATGTCTTCCAATGTGGCGTTGAAGAGTTTCTGGGATATAACATCGCTGTCTTTGCAGTCGTATAGGTTTTGTACTCTGGTTCTGTATTTAGATAGCCATCATAGCCCTACTGTACAAAAATTTCAGCACTTCAATATACCAATAGTCAACTTGGCAGCGCTGAAGCGAACTGTAGCACCGCCTGAATTTCGAAGGAATCAAAGGCTTTTTCATAATCCACATAAGCAATGCAAAGTGGCAGATTATATCTATTCTTCGGTCTTCTGTACGATTTGCTGAAGGATATGTATGGTTCTAAAGCCTTTTTGGAAACTGGCTTTTTCGGGAGGTTAGAGGCAAGGCAGCTATACACATCAGTAGAACCTCTCAATCTCAGGTATCCCATAAGCAATGCTACCATATTGTCTTCAGCTTTGACAGATGGTTTAACATTAAGTTGGAATTAAATTTCATTGGTCAAACAAATATATGTTAAAATTTTGAACTATGAAGCTGTTATGTATGTATGTTACACTCTTGGATGTCTGCAGCTCCTGGACATACTCAGGAGCTCACAGCTAGCTATTATAATATAAGTTTTAGTAGGTAACAAATCCTTGAGAAAGTACATCAATTTTTACAATCAATGAAAAAGGAGACGGCTAGTTGCCAATTAACTTGGGATCAGTGTTGCAGTGATTTATCATATTTGTAAACTTAAATCCAAAACCAATCTTATCAATGCAAGACTTCAAGATAACTATACATTACATAGATTGGAACACAATTAACCATAAAAAGTGGAAGATATCCCTGGTTAAAATTTTACATACACATAAAAATCATTACATAGTTAACTTTGACATCAGGTTCGGGATATTCAACATGCCTTAGTTCCCCTGGTGACCATAAGATACTGTGAAGCACTTGAAAGAGACAATTAAAATAAGTTAAACACAATATGATCCTTAAAATTAGTTTTATATTATTAGTATATGTAAAAAGGAGTGGTAGCACTAAGTGACAACCTGATAAATTACACAGGTTGATGACAAATGCAGGATGTTTTGAAATGTAGATATTTTGTGGCGATCTATGGGGATATGGGATCTTGTGATAAGCTTTTGGTTAGGATGGAATGGGGCAAATCTCCCACCAGACAAGGTGTTCAGCCTGGGGTGTGGCCATTCTCTGTGTGATAAGTTCAGAAATATTCTATAAATACTGCAGTACTTTGGAACTTTGATAGCGCTATTTAGGCTTCGATGCATTTCGCTCGTGGTGCGACGACGGCGCTGTCCCAATCTGTAGTGTTAGTGATTGTAAATGGGTAGTATTTGCATTAGAGATGGGCTGAATGTTCGTTTTATATTCGGTATTCGGCATATTCAGCAGCTTTACCGAATATTCATTTTCGGCGAAATCACCGAACATTCGTTAATGTGGTTTCGAATGGAATGTCTAATAATTTTACGGTTGAAAGTACTATGGTAGTATAGTATATTTATGGGTAAAATCTAATTATATTGCGTTATGTATTTAAGGCACTGTAAATTTATTTCCAAATATAGCAAATAGCTTGATTTTTTTGGCATCATAGAAAAAACATTACATTAGTACATTTCGCTTTACTTTGGTCGTTAGTTTTACTAAAATAAGTCCAAATAGTAGATCTCCTGCCACTCATTTTTATCATATTATAATTATCAATATTCACTAAAAATAACACAACGAAATACTTTTTTTGACAAAAGTAGTCAAAATATAAGCATGTGCCGGCGAATTGTTCAGTACTAGATGATGCAATAACATGTCAGGTGTTGTGGGCGAGCGAGGGCTCGGCGCTAATACTGCGCGCTTTATGGTAACAAGTTTCGACATAAATTGGTTAAGTAACGAGATGATCCTACCGAATAATGTTCGGCCGAATATTCGTATTCGGTGAAATTCATATTCGGCCCATCTGTAATTTCCATAAATAAAAGAAGTTATTATCTCAAAATTATTTAAAGAAAATCTTAAAATTATGCACCATTTTTGTCACTTGAGATTAATTTTACACAACCTTAATACATAATTATGTGTTTCTTATCTTAATAAATATTTCAACAGGTTTATTCTGCATGCTAAACGAACAGGATTTGTAGTAGAGCACGATTTCATAATGGCAACATATCTTGCCGACCGGGTCATTGTTTTTGAAGGAACACCATCCTCATCTGCAACGGCACATGCGCCTCAATCACTGCTTAATGGGATGAACAAATTCTTAGAGCTACTCGGTATCACTTTTAGACGTGATCCTAATAATTTCCGGCCTAGGATCAATAAACATGCTTCAGTCAAGGTAAATTTAAGCATATGTACTCTACTACAACTCTAAGACAAAAATGAAAATACATATTATTGAATTTTAATTAATATTAAACTTAAGAAGTAACTTCTTTTGATACTAAAAGTAACAATTTTTAAAATATTGTTTTTTTTTTAAATTATGATTATAAAAGGCATAGAAATGCAAAATTTACAAAAAAAATGGAAATATTTATTATTATTATTTTATTTGCAGGATATGGAACAGAAAAGGGCAGGCCAGTATTTCTTCCTAGAAGACTAAATGAATGATATATTTATATTATATTTATACTGTTATAACAGTCCTAACGATGGCCTGCCACCCATTGTATTTCCAATTAAATAAATGAATGTATTATGTACTGTAATAAAATCAGTTTTATACAACTTTGGCAATAATTATTTCAGAGATTAAAATCTAAATATGAATATTCATTATAAACTTTTAAAAACATCGTGAGATCATATTGCTGCAACATTTTATCATCGATAAATTGCAAAATATCTATAAAGACATGTCTTGAAAACATGTTTTTTACTCTTCTCACAAGAATCTAAAATAACAAACACAACAAATTCATCTAATTAATATTGTTACGCGCCTTAGTCGACGGCACTAGCGCCATCTAGTCTCGAACCGAAGAACTAAACTTCTTGAAGTTAAAACTCGAACTCTCGGTACCTTGCGCGTATTTACTTGAATATTCTGGATATTTCCGTGCTAATTTATATAAATAGGCGCTGCAAGATGCTATCGGGGAAGTATTGAATTCGGCGAGACAAGCAAAGCTTCGGAGCGAAATAAAGTGAATCAGTGTGATTAATTTTTAGTGTTTTAAGTTTTAATTGGTGTAAAGAAAATTAAAGTGTTAATTTAGGTAATTCTATCGGCAATTTTTATTGTCACGAACCTCAAGCTCGTAACAATTGGTGTCAGTGGGATAAAATCATGCCGATTTTAACTAAGGAGGAAACTGAGGGTGTCCGTACCCGAAGTCAACGCCAGCAGGAGACGGACCAAAGAAGATTTGGTGGTGCAACGCCGCAGACTTCGGAGGGCCAGCCGCCGGCTGCAGGCCCGTCAGTAGCTCCTACATCTGCAGCACCTGACTTAGGTGCTCTGATGGTGATGCTGCAGGAGCAGGCTCGCCGACAGGAGGAACAGGCCCGCCGACAGGAGGAACAGGTCCGTCGTTTGGAAAAGCAGCTGCGGGGCGGACAGGAGGAACAGGCCCGCCGGCAGGAGGAACAGGCCCGCCGGCAGGAGGAACAGGCCCGCCGGCAGGAGGAACAGGCCCGCCGGCAGGAGGAACAGGCCCGCCGGCAGGAGGAACAGGCCCGCCGGCAGGAGGAACAGGCCCGTTGGCAGGAGGAACAGGCCCGTCATTTAGAAGAGCAACTCCAACGCGATAAGGAAGAGCAGATGCTCCTCATGAAGGACCTTCACGCTATCTTCGGAAAAGAGATACGGGAGGTGAAGGATAAGGTTGCCCAACATGACAACCGCCTGTCAGAAGCTGAAACCCGAATCGACCAAGTAAACAATCGGGTTGGCAACATAATGGCTGACGTGAAGAAAACGCTGGACGACCTCAAACTTGGGGATGGAACAACAGCTCCCTTACTTGTAGCTACTACACCTTCGCTACGTGGATTCAAAGTGCCGCCGTTCGACGGGACCTCTTCCTTGTCGGCCTACAAAATCCAGTTCGAGGCCGTCATGGAGGCGAACGGCTGGAATAAAAGCCAAGTCATGACTGCACTCACCCTAGGCCTGCGCGACCAAGCCTTAACTGTGTTGGAAGCTCTCGGTAAGAAAGTGACCTACGAGCAGCTCCTTGAGGCCTTGGAGGCGAGATATGGCGACGCTCACCTGGAACACGTCTTTCGCGCGCAGCTTAAAGATCGCGTGCAGCGCAGCAACGAAAACCTGCAGCAGTGGGCCCTTGAGGTGGAGAAGATGGTTCGACAAGCATACCAGTCTGTACCTGCGCTCATTGAAGGGAACCTGGTTCAGACATTCATCGACGGCATCCGCGACCTTGAAGTCAGAGCTGCTGTGAGACTCGGGCACCACGACACGCTTAAGGACGCCTTGGCCCATGCACTGGAGGTAGAAGCCGTGCGGCAGGATCATCGTTCCCATCGTATCAGGGAGGTTGCAGCAGCTACAGTACGCGACCGCAACAAAGGATAAGTGGTGCTTGGGGGGAGGGCCATCTTCGATCCAGCTGCCCTAAGCGAACCCTAGAAAGGGAAGGTGAACGACCTCAGGAGGGTAGTGCGGCCAACAGCACCGCCCAGCAGCAGCAGGGAAACGGAGCGGGTGCTGGCTGATGTTAAAAGAGCCCCAAGGATCTCGATCTCACAAACCCATGATGGGAACAGTCTAATCATCAAGGGCGAGGTCAACGGAATGCCGTGTAAACTGACCATATACACTGGAGCCTCTCGTACGGTTGTTAGTTCCCAATTTATAAGTCAGTTCCTTGGGGACTCCGCATACAACCGAGAACGCATTAATTTGGTAACAGCCACCGGTCAGCGTATACCCGTCCGTGGAGAGAAGGAGATGGAGTTGAAACTAGGCAACGTGATCTACCTGCATAATGTCATCGTGGCTGATATAATGGACGACTGCATCCTTGGCCTAGACTTTATGAGGAATAATTGTTGTGAGATCGACGTTAAGCAAGGTGTTTTGAAATGTGGACAGGAGGAACTTTTTATGGAAGGTGCGTTACCAGGGAACGTGCACAGCATTAAGAAGATTGTTCTTCCGCCGAGATCAGAAACGATTGTGCCGGTTAGTCTTCCTCGAAACGCTGGGCAAGCTCACCGTTGTGTACTTGTGGAAAGGGTAAACAATGACCTTCCATGGAAAGTAGCTCGAACCTTGGTCAGGACCACTGACATCTCCGGAGTACGTGTGCTGAACCTTTGTGACCGGGAACAGATTATAGAAAAAGGCAACCGCTGGTTGGTACTTGTGAGGAAGTGGATTGGTTACGTCGGTGCCGATATCTATCGAGTGAGACCCCTAGCAAGGACGCACAAACGAGAGTGACCACACTTATGGAAGACTGTCGCAGCGCTCTCTCCCCGAACGAAATGGTCAAGGCAAAGAAGTTGTTACTTAAGTACGCCAATGTATTCTCATCAAACGATGCTGACATAGGAAAGACTGGCTTAGTTCAACACAAAATAAACACAGGAGAAGAATTGCCTATCCGTCAGCGACCAAGAAGACTGCCGGTAGCACGTGAAAAGGAAGTAGAAACCATGATTGAAGGAATGGTGAAGGATGGTGTTATTGAACCTTCCTCTAGTCCATGGTGTTCACTCGTAGTGCTGGTAAAGAAGAAGGATGGCAGCATGCGGTTTTGTGTTGACTACCGCCGTCTGAACGACGTAACGAAGAAGGACAGCTATCCCTTGCCAAGAATTGATGACACGCTGGACATGCTTACAGGAGTAAAGTGGTTTAGCACGCTGGATCTAAAAAGTGGCTACTGGCAAGTTGAAATTGACCCTAAGGACAAGGAGAAAACCGCGTTCTCGACGGGAAAGGGTCTGTGGCAACTTAAAGTAATGCCGTTTGGGTTGTGCAATGCTCCAGCAACGTTTGAAAGGCTGATGGAACTTGTACTCACCGGGCTAATTGGCGATGCCTGTCTGGTCTACTTGGATGACATCATCATCGTGGGCCGTACGTTTGAGGAACACCTTCAAAACCTGGAACGCGTGCTCATGAAGATTCAGAGTGCCAACCTCAAGTTGAGTCCCGAAGAAATGTTCACTATTCAAACGGCAAGTCAACTTTTTGGGGTATGTAGTATCGGAAGAAGGTATCCGCACGGATCCAGAGAAAATAGCAGCTGTCAAGGATTGGCCGGTCCCAAAAGACAAGACGCAGGTTAGAGCATTTTTGGGTTTGTGCTCCTATTACCGGCGATTTGTGAAGAAATTTGCAGATATAGCCAAACCTCTGCATAAGCTAACCGAGGAGAAGCGACATTTCTGCTGGGATGAAAGTTGCGATATCGCATTCCAGGAGCTCAAGGACCGTCTGTGCAAAACACTTATTTTGGGATACCCTGATGCAAGCAAAGAATTTATAGTTGACACAGACGCAAGTGATATAGGACTTGGCGGTGTGTTGTCTCAACGGAATGGTGACCAAGAGGTCGTGATAGCGTACTTCAGCAAGTCATTGTCAAAACCGGAAAGGAACTATTGTGTCACAAGACGCGAATTGCTAGCGGTGGTAAAGTCATTGCAGCATTTTAGAATATCTTCTGGGGCTCATGTGTTAGAAGGACAAGTTGCGAGGTGGATTGAACTACTGCAGGAATATGACTTTGAGATCGAACATCGCAGCGGGAAATCTCATGGCAAAGCAGATGCATTATCACGTAGACCTTGTCCTGAAGATTGCAAACATTGTACTAGGCAGGAGAGTAATGAAGTGGTATCCGTGAGGATGCTCAGGACAGACCACCTCGGCAACGAGTGGAAGGACAGCTTACAACATGCACAGCAGGAAGATCCGGACATCAAGCCGATTCTGGAATGGATGAAGGCCAGTGCTCCCAAGCCCAAGTGGAGTGACGTCTCAGCGATGAGTTCGACCACTAAAGGCTATTGGGCCCAATGGGACAGCTTGCTGCTTCAGGATGGAGTTCTGTGCCGTAAATGGGAAAATGTATCGGGGAGACAGCTGTCATTTACAAATGGTTGTCCCTAAAGCTAAAGTACCGGATGTTCTACAGCTGTACCATAATGATTATTCAGGAGGCCATCTGGGAGTTAAACGAACTCTACTGAAGATCCGAGAACGGTTTTACTGGGTCCACTGTCGAAACGATGTCGAGGACTGGTGACGCAAATGTACAAGTTGTGCGGCTGTAAAGGGACCTCAGACTCGTAGTAGAGGTGCATTGAAGTTGTACAATGTTGGTGCACCATGGGAGAGAATAGCCATTGACGTGGCGGGGCCGTTTCCGGAGAGTGAAAGCGGTAACAAGTATTTCATGGTTGTGATGGATTACTTCACTAAGTGGCCAGAAGTCTTCGCCATTCCAAATCAAGAAGCTTCAACAGTTGCAGATAAACTAGTTCATGAAGTCTTCTGTCATTTTGGAGTACCTTTAGAGATTCACAGCGATCAAGGAAGGAATTTTGAATCTCAAATATTCCAGGAAACTTGCCGAGTTATGGGTACTCATAAAACAAGAACGACTTCATATCACCCGTAATCTG